TCTCTCTCTCTCTCCTTTTTATCTCGCTCTCCTCTTTATCTCCCATCTTTCTTGTTCTTTTTCTCCCTCGCTCCATTTCCTCATCTCCCCCTTCTTTCTCTCTTCTTCCCTCTCTCTCTTTCTCTCTTCTCTCTCTCTCTCTCTCTCTCTTCTCTCTCTCTCTCTCTCTCTCGATATTTCCCCTTTTTCCCTCTTTCTATATATCCCCTCTTCCTCGCCCCCCCCCCTCCAATATCCACATTCAAACACCTGGTATACACACAAACATGCAGACATAAACAAACACACACACACACACACACACACACACATGCACACACGCGCGCTCTCTCTCTCTCTCTCTCTCTCTCTCTCTCTCTCTCTCTCTCTCTCTCTCTCATAGAAATAAAGTGGAAACAAGTCGAATGTTGCAGATCATATTTTCCATCATCAGGGGGTTAAAAAGGGAGGATAATACAACGGAGGAACACAACAACCATTGGAGATTGTTATAAAGTGAATTACAATGATGGTCTTGATGATGATGATGATGATAACTATGCATCTGCTGCTGTTCCTACTGATCCTACTACTGCTACTACTACTGCTGCTACTGCTGTTGCTGGTGATGTTGGTGGTGGTTGTAGTGGTGATGCTACTGCTGTTGCTGTTGTTGCTGCTGCGGCAATTGCTGTTGCTGATGGAGATTATGATTACGTTTATGGCAATGGGGACAAATATGGTAAAATCGCATGCCATTAAGAGCTGAAAATATTTACGTACATTTTTAAATGAGCACTGAAGACTCATAGTTGCATGCGTCAATCCAAAGATCCACTTACTATTTTTTCACAACAAATAATGACAAAAATGAGGACGACTACGACTGAACGACAATACCACCCACCTTTCTTTTTTCCCTTAACCACATCTACGTCAATATCATTTTCGTTTTTCTTATGGTCTTCATCCAGACACTGTGCCAGGTACTGGGACAAGGGTCCGCTCCGACCTTTCAGTTCCGGGAACGTGCATGACTCGATGACCCGCCCTTGCTGCATGACCAGAATGAGGTCAACTTCCGGAAGCCACTGGACCCCGTGGGTCACCAGGATCCGGGTCTGCGGAGATAATACGGGGTTAGATTTGGTTACTACATCTTTCTTGAATGCGTGTTGGTCCTACTTTAATAAACAGGGATAACACGACGGGAAATGCAGATACGAAAAGGTCATCTTCATTGCGTGCATGCTGTCTCTACTTCTTTAGAACACTTCTAACATGAAGCATGAGGGAAATATGTGAGATGTCCCAGAATTAACAGAACATGGCGATATTTTTATAACTCTGTTTAATGTTTCGATTATGTAAAACGTATTTAGTCGTTTAGGGAAGTTGGGATTTTGGTGCACCTTTAAAATGAACGAAATGGATGCAAGTACTTTACTACATGTACATCGCAACAAAGATGACAATAACTACAAAATTGGTCAAAAAAGAGATCCTAGTTGTAATTCGGATTCTTCACGAAAAATGAAAAAAAAAATTCCGGCAGAACTTGAAAGTATTCATAGTGAGAATGGTTTAAGGTCTGCTATTGATGCAATATATTTAAAGAAGGGCACACCGATCTATACAATGAGCAGATTAGAGGCTGTCATCTATCGGCTAACACAGAAAAAAATCTTAACGGATCGAAAAGGTCAATCGTCATGACAGGAGGCTCATTAAACCTCGTGACATTGCAGAAGCCCTAGATCATCTTTAAGTCAACCTTTCACAGAACTGTTTTTAATGAAGTAGGGTACTGAAAAGCGTCAGTTCGGTGGGTTTCAAAACAGTGGCCAATAAATAGTCAGAAGGTAAAGCACATCGATTGTTATATGGCATTTTGGGCACTGATACATGGCAACATGGAACCTGGGCCTGCTGGTGACCTCCAAGATCCCTGTGAAAACTTTATAGATAACAACCCTGTTCTTGCCCCTTCAAACTTCCATCTGTTTGGGCCAGTGCAGAGATGTATAGGTCGGGAAGTGTCATGACACACACCTTGTGGAGCATGTCAGTGATTGGCTTCGGTCTCTTGACGCAAAATTCTACCGGAAGTGCAAGCATTTACTTATCCAGCGGAGGGGGGGGGGAATATTTGACTACTCCGGAAGCCTTCTTTGAGAGATAAAGGAAATATTGAGTAAACTAATTGTGTAACTTGTATTCAACCAAGAAAAAACCCAGTTTTTTTACAGTCGGGTTCTTGTTAATTCTGGGACAGCAGACGTATTTAAAGAATGAGTGGCTCAAGTAGACTTTACCTTTAAACTTTCTTTTATCCTGTTATGCTACCTTGGAAAACATGTAAATATTGTTGGTTCCGCATAGTCAAACAAATTATTTAGAACTACAACACTTTCCGTTAAATATGATTGTACTGCGTTCAGAGAAAGGACAATCGTTTTGAGTTCAAACAAGTAATTATGTTTACTACACTTTTCTTTTTAAGCAGTTCATATTTTCTAGTCTATTTACAAACAATTATGAAATTTCATAAGACGTGTTGATTTTAACTTCAAGGACAAGAGATCCAGTGTGGCACATCCATTTGCAAACGTTTTTATTTCACTCTTTCGTGTTCTTTCAACTTAAATAGGCTACCAGTTACACGTACAGTATTTTATACGTCTTGATTCTCATGTGCTTATGCTGGGATAAAGTATCCCAAATTTGCCTACGTATGCGTTGATATACAGGGACGATGCAGCTCACTTTCTACATGATCTGTATAATGGTGAAAATGCGTAAAATATTTAAAGTCATTACCTTCACCATATCGTTCTGTTATGAGAGAGTTTGTTCAGTGCTGTACACGAAAGCTACAAGTACTTATATTATTTGACAACCATCATGAAAAATTGTCTAATCTTTATGACGTTATATATTCACATTAAAAAATACAAGTGTCAAGACACGTGGATGATTTTCTCAATACATACACACCATATGTTTTCTGTCTTCTAATACATTGCAGTGTCGAGGGCAAGAGCAAACGTTATTCTCTTGTTTGTTACATAGCCTGTTACCTGGTTATGTCCCTCAGTTAGAGTTTAAAGTACGGGTGCCCTTCAAAAAGCGTGTGTGTGTGAGTGTGTATGTGTGTGTGTCTCTGTGTGTATTTGTGTGTGTGTGTGTGTGTGTGTGTGTGTGTATGTGTGTGTGTGTGTGTGTGTGTGTGTCATTTGTATCAATAATATTTAAAAATAAGAAAGTTATGACTGAAAGGACATTACTTTCCAGCCCACTCTCGAAA